GAACACAGACGTGCAGTTACAGCCCAGAGAAGCCCGTCAGCCCTGCTGCCCTGCAGAAGCTGTGAGGCCTTTTCTCACTTGCAAAAAGACCCTGTGATCCGCCCAAAACTAATAGCTTCAACTCAGCCCAGGTATTTCAAAGAAAGATTCTAAATATATTCTGGCAATCTCATTTCTGATACGAAATTCAGTCTGATACAGATTCATTGAGACTCCAAGGATTTGTCACTTTCACTAAGAAACCAATTTGATCATTGTTAAGTAATTCAAGTCACAGAACAAAAATAACAAAAATTTCAATTTAATCATGATTCTGTTATAACTACTGTTTTCTTCATAACCCAACATAGAAATCAGGCTGAAAAATAGTGTAGCTGAATTCAAAATGTCAACTTCTGACAGACTTGAAATTTTCCTAACATTGTTTAAATTTAAGAAATTAATGTATTTGAAATCTTAAATAAATGTAGAGAAGTCTTAGTATTTTTTGAGATGAATGATTGTTATAGTTTGTGTCTAGTTGCCCCCCACCCCAAAGCCTCATGCAGACATGGGGCACGACTTCTAGTTTTTGAGATTAACTCATGATCCACTGGGATTATGGGTTTTAGTGTTGCTGGGATTATGGGTGTGAGGACTACTCCTAGCCTGGGACATACAGCCTGAATGCAATTTAAGGCAGGCAGACTTGCTCTCCATTGCCATTGTTGCTGTTACTCTTCCGTTTTGCTCTTGCTCTTTGCTGCTGCCATGAAAGGTTGCTCTCTGCCCTGTACCACTCTGCCTTGGAGCCAGATAAGCATGGACTGAAACCTCCTTCCTTCATTCTGAGTATTGGGTATTTGTCCCAGCAAGGAGAGAAGAGCAGCTGAGACAATGATCAAGTAGCAATCTTATGCTCTTGGTCAACAATAGGTAAGGTGCAACCAAGCTGTTTTCAGAAAATTAATTTTAAAATACTTCCAGTATTTCATTCATGTAAAAGGAATGCTTTAGTATACAGACTCAGAAAACCTACAGCCTTCAGCCTTAACTGCAGCCTCACATTTCAAGAGGCCAAGTCTGCCTCCCAGCCCATGTACTCCAACTGTATCAGAGGAAACTGAACGCATCCTGAATGTTTGAAGTCCATCTAAGACGTGATAGATGATCAATGAGCAAAGTTACAACCGGTAAACTAGTGGAGGAATGAGCGAAACCTAAACACGCTCAAATCAGTCCAGGAAAGCAAATGACAAAAGCCACTTCAATGGACTGATATACTCATTTGCTGAAACTTCACGAAAGCGCTGAAATACTCAATGATCTCTTAGTACACACGCGGTACTATGATCAATTTCCATGTTTCATTTAGCTGTTTAAAAAAAAAATGTCAAAAACATAATAGCATTCTCACATAACGGATGAGGAAAGGGAGGCTGAGAGTTAAGTGACTCGCTCAAGTTCACCCTGCGAGCCAAGTGCTTGACCCTACAGCACACCAGAAACGAGACCTTCCCTGAAAAGCTGTACCCAGAGATCCTACAGAAGGCAGCCCCCCAGGCGGGCCAGATGCACAGGACAATCTCAAGGTCTGGCCTGTACAACCTGGGCCAAGAGATGCACTTTAAGCCTCACTGTTTTCCTAAATTGGAAGATAAATTTGATTCAGTTCTGTGTAATACTCAGTTTTCTGTGAGATAATAGTTTTGTGAAATACTCGACGAAAATTCTTTTAAAATCAACAGTAATCTATCCCCTAGAATTTTAAAAAATATTTATTTTGTGAAAGATAAACACACAAATTGCGTTCTTGCACTCAGTGACAAGAATACTATAAAGTTCTCAGAAGTTTTAGAAACTCAAATACACATTCTTACACTGCTAGCCCTCAGCTAGAGAGATCCAGAGGAAAGCTCTGCTCACACTCTAGATTTGATCATCAAATAAGTTACATGTTCTGTGGCCTGAGCGTCCCAGAGCCTCATTTTCTCAATTGTAGAAAAGAAATCAACACATGCCCCACAAACTAGCAGCAAAGACTAAAGGACAGAATGCAATATAAATCAAGAGCACAGTGCTCAAAACACAATAAATGGTGGCTGTGCTCCGCGCAGACAGCCATCTCTGCGGAATGGTTGCTTTCCAAATCCTCCCACTACTCATACCCTGCTCCCTTCCCCACCCCACGTCAGAATGATCTGGACTTTTTCTCAGGCTGCCACTGAGACATGATTTCCACTAAAACATTTTCCGGACTTCACAAGTGGCTCAGTGTGCACCCCTTTCTATTCCTGCAGAGCCCACACTTCACCACTTTCCCAACACCTTGCTGGTTTAACTGTCCACTTACCTGCGCACTGCTGCTACTCGAATATAACCTATGATCCATTCAAAGCCACGCACTTAAGCCAGTGCTGGCCACACAACCAGCACTCAGTAAGGTGCTAAACTGTATGAGCCAACGAAAAAATAAGGGATGTGCATACTTCTTAACATTCAATAATTTCAATTAAATATTTAAAAGACAATGAAAGTAACAAGAAATAACATCTGAAGTGTCTTTCTTGATATATTCCAAAAGGTGAGTACAAGCAGACTACAAGAAGGAACGTAAAAAGAATAGCACACTGATTTCTGTAGTTGGCACGTACAACAGAAACAAAAATTACAAATTAGTGGAGCTGAATAGTTTAAAACTTTGAACATAAATAGAAAATTTGGCCCACATAAGCCAAAAATAACCAATTCAGTAAGATTTTTAAAAAATTAAACCCACTAAACACTCTTACACTGCAATGCTTGGTAGGGCACTGCGAATGCTCCTGGATTGGGGAACAAAACAAAGATCCTGCTATCACAGCTATTCAGCCCTGGACTGCAGGGCCTTCCCAGTGCAATAAAGAAGAACAAAACGGGTAAACACTGGGAAGTTAAAGAAAGATTATTATTTACAGATAATGTGATAGCATATAAACTGCAAAATATAAAAAGATAAAAAATCTATAAAACTACTGATTTTAGCATAATTCCTAGGTAAAGGGGTGATACTCAATACAAACTGTATTTCTGTATACCAAGTCACAGAGTACTAAAAATAAAACTTAACAGGAAAGAATACGGTTTATAATACACTATCAAAAAATCCTATATTATGTAATAAATCCACTAAATGACAATACATGGTTTCTAAAGTAAAACAACAAAACACTGCTGAGAAAAATTAAAGGTTTATATAAATGGAAAAATTATACCGGATTTAAGAATCAATACTGTTAAGATCTTCTTAAATTGGTCCACAGACCTGATATAATCCAACACATAAATCTTGAGGAACACATTACAACCACAGCAGACAATATCTCCAAAACTCTGGACAGACAAAATTCTCCAAAACAACGCGTTAGAAAAAGGAAACAAAGGAAAAGCTTAAGAACTTTCGTTGGGTGCAGTGGCACAGGGGCACACACTTGCAATCCCAGCTACTTAAGGGACTGAGACAGGAGGATCACAAGTTCAAGTCTAACATCCAATTCATTAAAGTCTAATTAGTGTCCCTAAGTAGCTTCCAAAACAGAAGCCAAATACTATGTCTACCTTCAAAGTCTGTTAGTAAGCCTTTATCATGCTTACCTTTCTAATCTTCTATCACATTATAGTTCAATGTAAAATTGATATACTCTTTGCTCCATTTCATCTATGTGATTTTCTCCATATAAAACATTCTCCAAAAGTTCTATATTAGACCAAATTGTCATCTCTGTTTAAGCATTCACACACTTATTTCCCATGTTTTCTACTTTCGGTAACACATTGAAAACAAAGAAACAAGTCACAGTTCTAACTGTAATGTTGACATTGGAAAAGCTAACCTTACGCACATTAGCATCAAATAACTAGCAAACAGTCCAGTTTATATTTTCGTAGTCAACGTAAAGAAGTCAATTAAGCAGTAACTCAGTTTAAATCCTCCTTCAATTTTCCCTATTTTATTCTAGGGGCCAGGGAGGCAGCTCAGGGGAATAAGCGCTTCCCTGGCAAGCGCAAGGGCCCAAGTTCAATCCCCAGTTCCACAAAAAAAAAAAAAAAAAAAAGCCTAGAATCAGACTTCATGATCATCACAAAATTAAACTCAAAATAAATCAGAATTTTATTCTGAAAGTGTCCTTTCCACTGTTCAGTCACTGTCAGCCTCTCATACATAACATTTATATGCGGATCTCCCTTTTCCTAACACATAAACTTAAAATAGGACTTTTTCCTGTTCATTTACTATCCATTATATTTTCCTTCAAAATTAAATATTATTCAAATGATTTTAAAATTTGCTTTCCAACAGTGAAGAATTTACATATTTTATCTGATACTAGCTATGGCCAAAGTGATTGCAAAAAAGTATTAAAATAAAATGTACCTTATTGGAAATTTCTGTAGATAATCTTATAAAAATAAGCTAAGAATTAGATTTCTTAAGAAACTTATCATTCTTTAAAACGAATTTTTACAGGCTGTTTTTACAAAGGAAAATATTTGAGTTATTTTTCTTTTTAAAAACTTGCCCACTCTGTAATTTACCTGAAATATATGAATATGCAGATATCATATACTGAAAAAAAACCAGACCACACCACTCAATAACCTCTACCTTACCTCAGCTCCACCCAACAGTATTTATGAACTTAAGTATGTATCTTGTAGCTGACACAGTTTCAAGCATGCAGCACTTCTTTGACAGCAATGCCACAGAAAGATTAATGTTCCTGTTTCAGGCTTAACTAGCTGCATTCTGTTAAATATAAATACGAGGAGGATGCAACTCAATTATAAAACCAAATTCACATAAGTACCCTAATCTAAAATGTATTAGTTTATTTCAACATTTCTTATAACACCATTAAAAATTAGCTAAGTTTTTCAAGCAAGCTAAAGACAAATCTGAAACACTTAAAAACAAATTGTCATATATAAAATAATTCAAAATCTATTTTATCAACTTTATTTTGAATAAACATATACTGTACCTGATTACTACCATGGCCAAAAGGAGTACTAGATATATTAGTGGTTACACTGTGTAAAATAATCTCACCACTAAGAGATCCAGAAGCAATGTAGCAATCATTCCAATTATATGTTACACAAGTTACTTCATCTTTATGATCCTAGAAGACAGAAATCCAGGTAAGTACAGTGGCCTACGAACTTCAAATAGCCCACACTCATTTCTCTGTGAATAGCGTTATGCTTGTCCGTGTAACATCTGCTTTAACATTACCCTCAAATAACTTCTTAAAAAATTACTCAGATGAGTAAGAAACTATATCATCAACCCAAATCCTCTCAGGAAATGGATTCCCTTTTCACAATCATATTAATGGTCCAAACTCTGAAGCGAGAGAGAGCGTAAGAAGCTGATTGGCTAAGGATCTACCTGGAAGCACTCAGGCCTGCTGACAAAGTAACACTCACTATACGATATCAGCACAGTGCTTGCCCTTCAGGCTATTACAGCTCACCTGCGAAAACATTTAAATGAACATGAAAAGACAGAGCAAATGCTAAATGAATGGTAAAGAAAAGTGTCAGAGAACACAGAGGTATTGCTGTGAATTCACCTGACAAAGGGAGGAATAAAGTTTGAGTTTATCCTTAAAGAGAGGATAAGAGGTAAGTCGGGAAAAGAAAAAACATACCAGATATCGCAAAGTGGAATACAGGAAGAGCCAAAAGACCAGTAGCAGTCACTTGCATTCACTGAGTACCTGAGCAGGAAGCTTAATATGTTACTACCCAATCCTTTCAAACGCCCAAGTGATGCAGTCATTATGCCCACATACCGACGAGCTGCACCTTAAGAAGCTGCCAAGTGACAAAGGCCAGACGCCTTTCAGGTCGAGCCCAAAGCCCACATTTTCCCTGCGTACCAGCCTGCACCTTAAATCCAACGGGAACCTGCTTGGAGGAAATAACTCTTGGGTTTTTAACTGAGATCAAAGTTGCTTCCCAACATCCAAGTAGAGATTTCCGGTGGGAACATACAAGCGATGGGGATTAGCGGAAGTTCGTAACAGTTTAGTGTCAGACCTTAAGCTACACAAAGCCTGGTGCCTAGTAACTTAAGTAATATCAAGAACAGAAACTACACTATCCACACATAGTACAACTTTTTCCAGTGGTTTCTCAGGTATTTTCAGAGGTATTCCTTTCCTAAATCAAAGATACAAATACCTGAAGGAGAGGGGTGTCTGGTAGGAAGAAAAAAGGAATAGTGAGTATTTTGTGCACTGTTTCCATTTGGGGAATTAAAAATTTGGAGTCCGGTGTAAATTCTATGAATTTATAATGGGGCAGGTGTCTTCTTAATCTCAGCTGCGGAAAATGAGTCATCTGGAGAGCATTTACTAAGCCCCAGCCACGTAGGAGATGCTTAGCAGCAGAGAGGTAAGGCCAAGCTAAGCTCTCACTGTCACCGCTGGCCCAACACCCCTTCACTGAATGAATGAGGCTACAAAGCACTGTGAGAATGTCGTCAAACAATAAGAAGAGAAAAATGTATGAGGCAAAACGGAGAAAGCTGAAGAAGCAAACGAGAAGACACAATGCAGGGAAATGGCGTATGTGAAGCTCTTCGATGTCTGATTTCGAGAATGGCTAGAGGTTCTAACCGCTCCTCAATTTTCTAAGACACTCCCTTCTCAATGTAGGGGCATCCCTCTAGGTGGCTTTCATTCAAAATTTCAAAGTGTAGAAGACTGATGAACAGTATCTGTACCCAGATCTAACACTATCCTTACTAGTTAGCTAGTTCTTTACCATCTTCAGCTCACCTTCTCTACCCATACAAGAAATAACGCTCCCTGTCCCGCAGTTAGGCCTAATATCGGCCCCAAAGCCTCCCATGTTTGGAAGGCCACCTGTGTCACAGGGCTGGGCACGGACTTGCTGCCAGGTGAGGTCTGGCAGGAAGACAAGGGTCGCTGGGCACGGCCGGGAAGGGTATGTCTCCCTTCCGGCTCCTCCCTCACTCTGCTACCAGGCTGCCAGGAATGAGCTGCTCTGCTCTGCCAGGCCCTTCCACATGCCCCGCCGCCTGCAGCCAGTGACTGGCACTAACGGGAGCCCGAGACCCCTTCTCTTCTAATTGTGGGAGTCAGTGATTCTGTCCCAGCAAGGAGGAAAGTGAGCAAAGCAATGTTAAGAAAAATAGACCTTTGTCGGTAAAGGGCTGACACCAAAGAATGCAACCAAAGCTAACAGTGACAAAAGCTAATTAGTGACAACCTTTGCTTTTTACCACTCATAGCCAAGTACATTTTTGCTCTGTTTTTCAGTTCAGACAAACAGTAACTAGTAACACTAACTAGTAAGGATAGTGTTAGACAAGGACCATGCATTCTTTTCATCCCCATCCCTATAAACCCAATGTCCCCACAGCCCCAGAACCACCAGAGGCCCTTGGCAATCCATGTTAAATGGATCTGCACCTTAGCTCATTTCCAAGGGCATCTCTCTAAGTGCCTTCCCTCCTGCTTGTGCTTTCTCAAGCTCGAGGGCTGGTCTGACACTGCAGAGACCCGTGCTACCTTTTCATATTCACTTATTCCACAGCAGAGATCTTAGAATTAATCCTCTCAAAAGTTTAACTATACTTAAAATGATGAACTACCAAGACTGTATTTAAGCAGCAATTATAAGATTGTTTTCCAATTCCAGTTAACAGAAAATCAATCTTTAATATACCACTTCCCTAGTAAAAATTAACTCAATGACATTCAGACATGTAATAAAAATGATGCCTGGTACTTGCTACGTGATCTGGAGGTGGACAATTTGCAAGTGGGTGAGGGCAGAGA